GATGCTTACTTTGGTTTTGTGGCTTGATTAGTATATGTGAAGGTCAAAGTTGGTATGTTTATGTGATGCCATTTATGGCCATATCTTATTATGAGAATTGAGATATTATGTTTAAAATATATGATATGATGTGTTTTTAGGTTGTTAAGATATGTTATAGTTGAATGGAGTTCCGCTTTTCAAGATTGGTTGTATTATAATTAAGCATGTTGATAGAGTAATGTTATGAGATAGTCTTGAAGTTTTTTGGAGAAACGTGGTAAATAGTTAAGGGATGATATTGCCTTGTTATTTGAGAAATGCCCCTATAGATTCCCTTGTGTGGATTGGAGTCTTTAATGAAGACTTGTTCCTAAGAAGGTAAGATGGGTGTTGAACCTTGTATGGTGGTTGTGAAGTATGCTAGCTAATGACAGAACCCTTATGATTGATTACCCCTCATGAACCTATTCTAAGAGTGGGGAGAAAGGTAGAAAGGGTTTTGTTCCATATGTTGAGATTATGTCTTTACCATAGAATAACATAGAGGGTAATATTTACCCTTAACTCTTTAGGGTAAGAAAAAATTTGATGTTGACCTACATTATGGTGGTTAGTTGACTTTGAAGTTTGATCTTAGATATGGTTATTTGAGGATTTTTTTAGGTTGTACATACGAATATTCGGTTTGAAGTGTCCACAAAAGGTGATGGATCTTGGTAGGATTGAATCCGGAACTACTTACCTTGTTAGGACTATGTGGTAGAATGTGATGAGATGTGCAATTTTTCTTGGAATTCATGGTGTAGTTAATAACTCATGTGGTTGTGTAGTATGACCTAACTTGATTGTCATGGGTTCCTTTAGGTGGTAAACATAGAGGACTAGAGATGCTTGCGGAGTATCTATTGATTGTTAAGTTAATAAGCTACTTGGGATGAGATTTGGAGTGGAAAAATCTCAATGATGTCCAACCTCCTTAAGTAAGGAGTATTTAGTATTGGCTTTGACTTGCTTTGACCTTTGTGTTTGAGGGCATCAGGTGATAAATATGTGATTAGCTTTACCCTAGGTGGGGGATAATGTGCCTAGATGCTAAGGTTATGAATGCCCTTAATAGTCCTATATTGAGTTCCCTTAGACTTCCCAATGTTATGGATAACTTTGAGCATTGATTATGCAGTGGAGTAATTTAGATAATCAATTTTTATCTCTTGGGTTCCACAACTAGTGGAGTGTGAGTGTTTAATTATGAGGAAATGGTTCCTTCATAAGAGATGGAAGGTAGTGAGGGTAAGAAAAGTTAGCATGAGTTTGACCCCAAGGTGAGGATGTGTGCTTAACTAGAAGGATTGGCGAGTCCAAGTCCTATTGAATGAGATAAGTTTCTCTGAAATAGGTTTACCCTAAGTGGAGGATGATGATGTGAGTAATAAGGTGGTAGATATCCCTATATTTTCCGTCTATTCCTTCTAAAGCTTGAAACAAAAGATTTTCGAAGTAGCTTGTTCATAATAGGAGTTTTGCATAAAAATATAAGTTTCATGTTCTCCATATGTTATGTATATCTTAATTGACAGTATGGTGTTCATGTTTTAAAGACTCTTAGTTGCATGCGAATGGATTTTTCCTCAAATTTATCTTTTCTAATGTTCATGTGCATTTTGATATGTTAAATGTGAATTAGACTTCATGAGAGGATGTAAGAATGATTGATGTTAGTTTTAAGGTGTGATTTTTTAGGCCATCAAATAGAACTTGAGCTAGCTATAAGTGAAAAAAATTATGAGTCTCTTAAAAATGTGTGACCTTTATGACTTGTGAAGTATTAATGTAGGCTCACTTTTAAAAGTTGTTGGTATGTTTAGCTAGTGCTGCCAATGGGGGGATGGAAGCGTTAAAGAAGAATATTGTAGAGAGGAGAGAGTAGTGAAAGGCTAATGATTTTATTTATGAAGGTAAATGCCTCTTATATAGACATACATAATGACCTTTCATCCTTGCTAAAGGACGATTGGCCTTTACTATTTACACAGTTACTTGACTCTTACTATTTACACAGTAACTTGACTCTTACTATTCATGGTTACTATTATTCCAAATAAATGCATTTTTAGGAATAGTATTGTCATGCTAGAAATGAAATGTTTTGAAATGACTTCCTATTGTTGTGATGTGTACGGTGTGACTGATCTTGTTGATTTCATTAGGAAGAAAGTATGAGCATGTTTTTGTTAAAGTTGTAGAGTCTCCTTTAGATTGAATTGACCTTTGTGCCTTGCTTGTATATGACCTATAAGGACATTTCTCATTAACATAATAAAACATGATGATGGTAGGTATGGCCATAAGGAACTATGACTTAATGATAAGGATCCTTGTTGAACTACCACTACACTAACGAATGTGTACAACCACTCAAGAAAAGTGTGGCCTAAACAACGAAAAACTTTAAAAAATTGTGGCCTTTAATAAAAGGTAACACTTTTTGACTTTAGGCCACACTTTTTAAGGGGTGGTTGAAAGACCCGTAACCATAAAGTGTTCCCTTATCAGCTACGGTTAAAAGCGTCGCCAAAAGGGATAAAGGTCACGCTTTTGCAGCTAAGCTTAAAAGTGTTGCCTTATCATCTACACTTTTAAACGTACTTTTAAAGGCAAAAAGACCACGCTTTGCAGCTACGCTTAAAAGTGTTGCCTTATCAACTACACTTTCAAGTGTATCCTAAAAGGAAAAAAGTACACACTTTGCAGCTACGCTTAAAAGTGTTGCCTTTTAACCTACACTTTTAGGCGTTGTCTTTGCTACCATATTGCCAACAATTATAAAGTGTTGCCTTTTATATCTAATATATGACAACACTTTGAAGTGTAGTCTTTGCCTATATACAAATACAATTTAGAGTCCTATGGCTATAATTTTAAATGTGGTAATATTTTTTTTGCTATAAAATATTTATATGCCACAATTTGTAATAAAAATACACAAATATTGTTTTGCAATAAATAATCTCAAAAATTAAATTAGCTAATAAGTAATTCAGTTTTATACATTTTCCATAAACTTTGAAACATAATATGTGTTGTGTACATCCACATACGTGTAAAGCAATATCTAAATGTGTACACAATAGTTAAAAAATACTCTCCATCATCCACTTCAATGAGATCAATTTGATTTGTGGAGACTCTTCAAATTTGTTCACCTTCACTTCCCTAAACATTTAAAATGTACAGCAAAATCAGATTGCAAAAGTTATAAAAGAGGGAAGAAGTTCAAGATAAATAACATATTGCAACACTTTAATATTAAAACAGTTTAATACTTCAGACTGTAAAATTTTTGAGTTCACTATGCAGATTCTGAGGCAAATCTAAAACAAATTGTAGATTGCAAACTACACTTCAAGTTGCAGATCTATTCTAGATTGCAGCTTTCAGTTGCACATCAACTAGTTGCAAAATTTAAAAAAAATGGAATGGATTGACATCTTTCTCGTGCTTTATAAGATGTAGTTGTTGCGTATTCGTGGTATACATGGTAATCAAAAAACTCATCAGACAACTAAATTGTTATTCACCTTTGCTTAGTATAATGATTAAAATTAAATAGATTCAGAAAAGATAATCAACTAGATTTGCGCATCTAGAAGTTCGTTCATATGTAGTTTAATTTTATAACTACTAAGAATCAAGCAACATCACAAGGCAGAAGGCAGAAAAAAATAAAGAGATCAATAACATATTAGGCTAGTAGGAAAAATATTTTTTCTATATGATAAGGGAAGTAATAAGGCAAAACTAGAAGACAAAAAAAGTGTGACTACGTTTGCCAATAATACTAAAAGAGAATGTTGTACTTTTTATCATATAAAAATTGACACTTAGAATTGGCATGAATCCCCATCAATCACTTCACTATTTGCTAAGTGCATTCAAAACAAACATAATATGTTCAAATCTAGGTGACCATCAACATACAGATAAAAACAACTAATTCAAAAGCTTATAAGAGATAAATCTGTTTAAGGATAAAAAAATTGTGCCCTAATTTTCCACATCATATAGTAGGAATCAATACATTACCTCAAGTATAATGAGATGTATTGTTATCCTTCTCGAATTTTTGTATTGCTTCATGATTTTGTCAATACTAGCAGCCTCCTCCTTTAAAATACAGTAGAATATGTTTATTCCGCCAAGGAACAAAACAACAACATACATATCTCCTACTATATTCATTAAGTCTTGCAGTTTGTACCTTTTTATATTATCCCGTCAAGTTAAACGAGGTAAGATTTCCATGAAATGAGGCCTAGTTGATTGATTCTTCTAGTAAAATAGAAATAGCAAGTGAGTAAACATCAAATGCAAAGGCTAAGATTTGGCAAAACTTGGGGCTTAACTTCAACAATGAACTGCCAACTTTTCACAATAACATGATTAGATGCAAGAACACTCTCAAGATGGTCTAACATCTCTTTTTCTTAGCAAGACACAAAACAGAGATTGGTGTCTCGGTAATTCCAAACAACACCATTCTGTTTTGTTTCAATGGAAGTACGATCTGTAGCTACGGTATACTATTTCATAAGAGGTTCAGTTTTTTGCATTCAACCAATATCATTGTTCTACCCAACGACTTCCTATTCATTATCTACAGACCACCTGGTAAATAAATATAATAAGTTCATGTTTACATACGAAGTATGAAAAATAGACACAAATTACTCTACCAATATTCTAGTACTAGCAGTATGATTTATTATAGTGTTAGTAGTGATAAATGAAGTGACAATACGAACAAATTATTATCCATTTGCATATATTACATGTAATTGGCAAAATGTCCGGAAACAATACTCATGCAATGAACCAAAAGAAGCAAAAAAGGCAATTGTATATACTACTTAAACTAATAAAGCAACAAATTTTGTGTTCCTCTATACACACCAAATAGATTAAGCAGCATCCATTATATTATCAATTGATGACCATCAATCAAAAATCAAATAGTAGTAGTACTAAATTCATGTATGAATCTGTAAAAATGATTGCTGCTGAACGAGGGGAAGAAACAGCAGGAGTTGGAGTAGCTATATCAGTAACATTTTCCTTAGAACATGTGTATTTGCATCAAGTGGGACGAACAACCTTGTATACACAACTGCTTGCTAAGTTATATGCATCTTTATTATTATACTTACTATATGAGAAAATGTAGCACAAAGATGGAACTTTGCTTCCTATAAGTAATGCACAATTAAAGGGGAAGTTCCAACACAAGTAAATGAAATTTCAGTCGTCTTGAATGTTCCACTGTCCTTAGGATCTCAGTGCCTGCTTACGATGCACTTGAATAGAAATCTGCATCAAGACACATTCGATAGTTCTATGTTAGTAATCATATAGTTATATAATGCAAAAACATCAAAAAGATTTGAATTAAAATAGTCCATTTCAAAGTAGGAGCCAGCTGAACATACTTTTTGAAATCAAAGAGTCCAAATGGAATTCATACAAGTAAGCAATATAACGGAAAAACTAACGTAAATTCAAGTTTAGTTTAACCCATGGTCATCACTTACCTAGAAGGAAGAACTACATGGGAAACGAAAGGCGAATGTGATGTCTGTGTCTTAGCTGCAAGCCTCTGAGATTTTTGAAGTTCTTTCGATTTAACTTGAAGTAATTTTCTTGCTAGCATAAGAGCAAAGAACGAATTTACAATTACAAGCATAAGAGACCAGTGTGACAGAAGAAGAGCAAAAAATAGATATTAGGCTGAAAAATTCTTAAATAAATGAAATTTGATGAGAGAAGATTAATACAGGTTTTGCAAATACCTATCAAACTATAGAACTACTACAACACAAACAGAGTAACAGAGGAGAGAAATACTGCTCGTGCTGCTATACTTATATATCCAATATCATTGTATTATACAAACACCAACAAATGATAGGATTAAACCGTAGTCTACAATATGCCATGGTATCAACTAAGAATTAGAAGATAAAAAGAATAAATATTTGCACCTTAATCTCCCAAGAACAAATTTTTGATTTGCAGCAGCTGTGCAATACTTAAATACCTACAAATAATAATACCAGCAATATTTAACAACAATCTTCCATAAGTTAGAATTTGGAAGTTACATTTCTCAAAATCAATATGTTAGGATTTGGGAGAAGATTTTGTAGTATAACTTCTATGTAGAGGATGCCCTAATTGGCATGATCTGGTGTGTGCAATTAAATTAACGAAAATTGTTATAAAAGAAATTTAGCATTTTCTAAAAATTAAGATAACTATTAAAATAGTTTTATGTACTTTATTGAATTTTTACGATTTAGTATCTTGATGCATATTCTTTTCAGACACCATGTGTTTCTCCTTTTACTAAACAAGAAACAGTTTTATACGATTCAAACATAGGCAGAACAACATGTAAATATCACGTTTTCCTACTTTACATAATTTATAGGCTATATTGCATACACCTAACCAAGCAAAAGAAAATGTGAGGAACCAAAAGAAGGCACAGTTGAAAAAATCTCGGATTTGCGTTGGTTCATTGCTTCGGAGCGACGAATTAACACACTTAAAATAAAGCTATTTTAAAATGTAATTTTTGAGTTACCATACTGTTTGCATGTGATTAAAATAGGGTTTGTTACTACACTGTAATAAAAAAGAGTTGATATTCACATATTTAGGAAAATATTTGAAATAATAGAGGTCATAATTTGAATTTGAAAGTCAATATATGATATATTTCAGAGTAATCTCAGTCTAGAAATGCCTAACTAAGATAGTATAAATCCAAGAGTAAATTTAAATAAATAAGCTACTCTACTGATCAAGAACTTGTTACCTCGACGAATGTAAATAAGCATATATTAATAGGGGCAGTTTACACTCTACTGGAAAAATGTGGAACAACTGGTAAATGGATAAAAATTAGTAAAAATGAACATGTCATTCTATGTACTAATCCTCAAGTTTGAAAGTTAAACAAGTATTAACTATTGTCACGCTAAATATTGCACTAACAAACAATTAGCTTGTTTCTAATGTAATGCACGTGTTCGATAGAATAAAGGATTAGTGCAAACAAGAGTAAGATACAATATCATAAGCATACAAGAGAATCAAATAAAATAACTAGGGTTTAGATTTTAAAAAATAGCTAAGGAAAGCAAAGATAATAGCAGCTTTGTAGCAACTCGATGTTACTACGTATATTAGGAACTTCTTGTAGTTTTGGAAAATGTACACCTTACTTCGAAGACTATTGCACTTTTATTCATGCTTTTCACTAGAATTTCCCTGCTGTATATTTTTGTTGTGTTTGGGTTTTAAAAATGCAAAGGTTAGTACTCCGTGGTAGTAGAGAGTCACCAGACATACACAAAAAAGGACACACTACACACTAAAATGCATTGTGATCTGTCAAATGAAAGTTAACGGGCAAGAATGTTTATTACAAAAAAATATCCATGGCATCATAATTCTAAATGCAAATGCTGACAAAACTACTACACTATCACACATCATAACAAAAATATAAGCATTTAACATTATTCTCCTTGGTGGTCCCATGATTAGGTGATTACTTTATGAATTGGGGACCTTCCAACTCTTCATCCTGCTTCCTCTAAATTGTTCTTAAATTCCAATGGCTCTTTTAGAAAAATAGTATTACAAAATGAAAGAACAAGCATACAAAATTATAGATAGATTTCCAACTGAAATAAAAACTTACGCTGGTTAAATTCCTGAAATTCCTTGACCTTTCTCTTGTAAAGGATATGATACAGTTGTTTACCTCTAAAACTTTTCTATGGCAATAAAGTACTTACTAGTTTTTCCATCAAGTCATAGGAACTTCGTGATTTCGTGGAGGCCCTCCAAATGAGGAATGGAAAAAAATACGCCTGACGTCTAGTCACAACCACTATGGTAACTACTCTCACATTAACCAACATCTTTCATCAGTTATATCGTCACTCTTGATGTTGATCTGATATATTACACATAGTTTAGTCAATAAATGGCTAAACAGAAGCACTTAGAGATGTTTTTTATCCATTCAGACTAGCGATACATAAGCCCCTCAATCTTCCACTAAATTGAGTTGGAAAAGTAGAAAATGCAATACTAATATATCATCTACAATTCCTCCTTTTTTCTTATTACAATTTTTACATGATAGCATCTAAAATTTTGGTTCTCATCAAGGTGATTCGTTTATTTTGGAGTCTTGGAGCAAAATTTTTTGCAAAACTAGTGGCCCGTTGGATACTACTGTTAGGACCGAAAATCAGCAGGTGTGAACGCGGAAGCTGGCAATGCAAACCTCGAAAGACAACGAGTAAGATGATAACGAGAAATATACCAAAAGACACAAAGATTTAACGTGGTTCGATCAATCGACCTACGTCCACAAAGGAGATAAGCAATCCACTATAAATATGAGAGTACAAAATACAGAGTGAAACAACCTCTACCAAATTCACTCGAAATACATGGGAGGTTCACACAAGTGATAACGTATCAAGCTTGTGACCCACAATTTCGCCCCCTAACCAAAACTCTCAAAGCCATTAAGACTACATGGTGAATGTTGATTAAGATAGAAGGAACATGCCTCTATTTATAGAGTCCTAAACCTTTTCCTCCCAAAAAAGAATTAGTCAATCCAAAATCTTTTCCTAAGAGGAAAACCTATTTATGGTGAGAAATCAGGGCAAATAAAACCCAACAAATCTCCCCCTTGGCCTGCGTTTCTGACAAAATAAATTTGTCCACCTTCTTCACTTAATCTTCAACAACTTGCTTCTCCTCTCCATAATCTCATTTGCAAAATTTATGTCTCAACACAGAGAACCTCTCTGAAACAATTTCTCCAACAAAATATTCATTACTGTCAAAATGGTTGCAGCTAGAACTACACCCGCCAAGATGAACACCTCTTTCTAACCTGGTACAATCATCGATTATCGAACCACTGAACCTGACTCCGTCATTGAATGTGGCTCTGATACCACTTGTTAGGACCGAAAATTAGCAGGTGTAAACGCGGAAGCTAACAATGCAAACCTCGAAAGACCACGAGTAAGATGATAACGAGAAATATACCAAAAGGCACAAAGATTAAACGTGGTTCGGTCAATCGACCTACGTCAACAAAGGAGATGAGCAATCCACTATAAATATGAGAGTACAAAATACAGAGGGAAACAACCTCAAAAAAATTCACTCGGAATACATGGCAGGTTCACACAAGTGATTAACGTATCAAGCTTGTGACCCACAATTTCTCCCCCTGACCAAAACTCTCAAAGTCATTAAGACTACATTGTGAATGTTGATTAAGTTAGAAGGAACATGCCTCTATTTATAGAGTCCTAAACCTTTTCCTACCAAAAAAGAATTAGTCAATCCAATACCCTTTCCTAAGAGGAAAACCTATTTATGGTAAGAAATCAGAGCAAATAAAACCCAAAAACTACAACCAACTAATAGCGATAATAGAGGAACTTGTAGATACTTAAATTTAGGTTCATATGCCAGAAATTATAATATGAAATGTTTTGAATATTCATTCCTATCTCTGGTCAATCATTAAGCTTTATGTACTTCACTAGAAGATGACTATTATAATTTTCTCATCAAAGGCCAGTTAAGGGCAATTTCTTGGAGACACCATTATATAGGTCAAGGAGACTAACCACATACCTTGTTTATAGTTTCTTGACCTTTTTCACCAGCCGGAATTTCTTGTAATTAATACTTTTGTCAATGGAACTTGTCCTTATCAGTACCTTTACATGTCTGTGAAGTGATGCTTGGTCGCGTTGTTGCTGGATGAACCGTGGTAGTGGCTGGAGATGTAGAAAGCCTAATAGCCAAAGCAACCTTTTGGGAAGCAAAGTCTTGGGATATATACCATCATAACAAATATAGCTTGTTTTACTTGTAAAAATTAAGAGGATAATAACTGGTGGGTGGTTGAGAAGCCAGATGATTCAGTGAGCCTAGAGATTTAGATAGTGTAGCTTGAGGAAAAACACAAGTCACAGTTGCAGCTGCAATCACAAGAAGTACAGCTGCTGTGAGGAGCTAAAATATGTGCAGCTACATTGGTTGTGGGTATTTTATTGGCTTCTAATTAACCTCCAGAAACCTGAAAGCTGACTAACGTGGAGGTGGAACAACTCCATAAACCTTATATGATGAGACTCTACAGATTTACAGTCACAGATATGAGCATTCTGGACATACACCAACAAAAGAAAGAGGAATATAACAAAATAACATCACACATAAACCTCTTCTGAACAAAAGTTAATAGGTTGCAATCACATTTCATATACTCAAAGGAACATGCAAACGTAAAAATCACAATACTCTGCACAAATAGTATCCAAAAGATTTTTTCCAAAAAGCTTCGCTCGCACGAAATTCTTGTGATTTATTTACCTCTTTAAACAAAGTGATTAATTACTAGTTGTTAATGTATGGTAATAATGGTTGTGTCAAACAAACATGACCAAAGACAAGGACAAGTTGCTGAAGTGGTTCCTCAGAAAAGGGAAGGTGGAGGCGCGTCTCCACCTGAGAAGCCTTATTGAGTGAGGGTACTGTGACCGTGCTGTTAATGTTGAAAATGTGCGAGATCTTAAAGCAATAAAACTTCAATCAATCAATTTACTGGTTACAATTGAGAATTTATGATTTAAACGAGATGAAAAAGAAGGAATTAGGATTTTTTTAGGCGTGAGATTTATGGGTAAGTAACGACTGTTATTCTAATTTGGGATACAAATTTGATTTTAGAGTTGAATGTTGTTTATTTTGAAAGATTTTAATTTATGTTATATGAGTTCTTTTTTTGTCCAATTAGAAATTAGAGGGAGAGTAAAATATGTTGGAGGGAATAAAAATCATAGTGAAAATTTTAGGAAATTCATAAGGCCACACGTATAAAGTGTTATTTTCTAAATTAAAAAAATACCAAACTTTGAAAATGTATTCATAGATATAAATAAGCTTTTCCAATTATATCATGATAAAACTACACTTAAAAAATTAGCTTATACAACAAAAGAGAACGCTTGACAAATGTTGCTAATGTCACCGTGGTCAAAACCTAAAAACTAAAACTACACTTTAAAAGTGTGCCCAAAAATATTCAAGGCAACACTTTATAAGTGTTGTCCATATGTAGTGTGGCCATAGGTTTAAAATGGTGTAGTGTACTTGACTCAAGTATGTATGCGTTGAAGTATGAGTTGCATGTATGCTTCTCGAGT